CACGACCCCAACTGGGGCCGGGGACAAACGGCAACCGAGGTACGTGCCCTTAGCGGGAACCGAACCCGGGACTATCTGGTTCACAGGCCAAAGCTCTAACCGCTGAGCCAAACCAGCCAGGACCAGGTGAGAAACTTTGAGGCTTTATCGTTGTCCAAGACATAAGACATTATGTCAGAAAATAGAACAAAACTCTGTGACCTTGCATCTCTCCTTTAACTTCTCTTTCTACTAGATTCTTCTCTAAAGTCTTATTTAAATATGCTCAAAATCTGTTCCATCTTTTTTTTTTTTTTTTTATCCTCACCCGAGGACATTTTTCCATTTTTTTGTTCAGATAGAGTGATAGGGAGGGGGGGGGGTGAGAGAGAGAGAAACATCGATGTGAAAGGGACACATCGAGTGGCTGCCACCCACACGACCAACTAGGGCCGGGGACAAACTGCAACCGAGGTACATGCCCTTAGCGGACACCGAACCCGGGTTGCTCTGGACCGCAGGCCGACACTCTAACCGCTGAGCCAAACCGACCAGGGCCTGTTCCATCTTTTACAAAAAATCCTCATGCCCTTCTCCCTGATATCATCCTGTCTCATTTTTCTCCTTCATGGCCACATTATCCAGAAAGGGCTGCCCCCTGCTCTTCCTCTTCACTCCAAAAGCACTCTAGTCTGACTTTATTCCTACAATCTTCTAAACTGGTTTTGGTTCTGGTCAGTAAGTTCTATGTCGACAAAAGCAGCCAATGCTCTGCAATGCTCATTTAAATGGAGCTTTAAACAACACCTGGCACTGTGGCTCTGGAAAAATGTTTCCATGCTCGGCTCACCTCTCTGGCTCAACCTTTCCATCCTCTTTTTAGCTTCTCCTCTGTCCAAATCTTGCAGTGTGGTTCTCTAGGGTTCCTCCCAGACCTTCCCTCTTCTCTTTTACTCTCTCCCTCTACACTATATCCTCCATTCCAAGCTTCATCCACCAACCCTTTGCTGTTTAAGACCAAAATTTTTATCTGCGGCCCAGCTCTTTCCTCTGAGTTCCAGACTCACCTATCCAATGATTGTCTGACTTCTACCTAATTATCTGACAAGCCCTGAATCTCATTCTGGACCACTAGACAGGTCATCCCTCAGAAAATAGAACCATGATCCAGTACCCACCTAAGAGGAGTAACCCTTTTCACATTTGGGTGACATATCCCATCATTCATTTAGCCCTACTGATTTGGCTTCCTGGATATTTCTCAAATCCATTTTTCCCCATCTCCACAACCACAAACTTAACTGGTTATCCTGCAGTCATTCTTGCCCTTCTCAAGTTTATTCTGAGTTTGAAAGAGTGACGCCTATTGGTTCTCCAAGGCCGTACCTAGTGTTTGCTGTTTGCCTATCGTTTCTCCAGCTCTCTAAGCTGCATCACTCTGACCTGCTTTTGGTTACTCGCACAGGTTTTTCTTTACCTTCAGAGCAGATGCTGCTCCCTATGCCTAGAATGTTCTTCCCTACCCTTTCCCTCTTGCAGCTGCCTGCTTCTCAGCTTCGGGGCTGGGTTTAAGCTCACTTCCTGTGATCCCTCACATTTAATTCCCCATGTGATAGTCTATCCAAGTTTTCTTTACTCAGCACTTACTGTAATAATCTGCAATTATTGGTTTACTTTCCTGCTAGATGGAAAATTCTGTATCTGTTTTGTTCAGTCACAGATATTTGTCTTTCCTTTTGGTGACACAGCATTTGAACTTTCTATGCGAAGTATCAACCACTTTATGAATGCTGGTGGAAGGGGCAGGAAGGCAAAAGACCACCCTAATCCCTCCTTTTCCCAGCCTCTCTTTCAGGTAAGACATGAGCAATCCCCCAATTAGCACATCCTTAAAGGATTTTGACTCAAGAACCGATAGAACAGTAGGAAAAGGTTAGGAAATTCACTCCTCTCCTTCAGGCAGAGTCGTGGTGGCTCCAACGGTGGGTGAGCTACTGGGACAGAAGCAGCTTTGGTGCTGGCTGCCTTGTGAGGTCCTGTAGGAACTAAAAAATGTCATGTCTGGTGTTTAGCAGTTTTCATCAGTTCTGTAAAGTGGCTCTCTAGCCCTCTTAATGACTGTCACTAGCAATTTACTTTTTTTTTTTTTTTTTATCCTCACCCGAGGACAGTTTTCCATTTTTTGTTCAGGTAGAGTGGGAGGGAGAGAGAGGAACAGAGAGAGAGAGAGAAACATCGACATGAAAGGGACACATCGAGTGGCTGCCACCCACACGACCAACCAGGGCCGGGGACAAACTGCAACCGAGGTACATGCCCTTAGCGGGAACCGAACCCGGGTCCCTCTGGACCACAGGCTGACGCTCTAACCGCTGAGCCAAACTGGCCAGGGCGCAATTTACTTTTTAATGGACCCTGAGTGTATCAGAGTCAGACTACTCGAATCTACTAGTCAGAGCTAATACAAAAGCTGTACTCTTGTGTCCCAGAAGAGTCCCTGGCATGCCACATGTACACGATGAATGTTTGCTGGTTAAAAGAATGCATGAAAAAGGGTCACATGTGCTTTTGTGGAATGAAGATCCCTTACTCTTACACAGAATTATTTTTTAAACTTGCATCCACCTGACATTTAATTGGCAAAAATCACAAATGTTAAACCAAAGTTTGGAAAACAATGCATTAGTTGATATTGGAAATTCCTTTAAGATTCTTCACTGCATTCATGTGCAATTTCTTTTCCTACTAGGAAAAACGTCACATCCACCAAAGAATAAACTCAGCTACCAGGAGGTGTGCATTTTTTTCATGCTATTCTCACTATGAATTACACCCCCTAAAATATAAATTCTTTGTCAGGAATATTATAGCATTTATAGAAGCAAAGATGATATAAAAACTTAACATTCAGAAATGGTTAAAATAATATGAATTTTCTTTTTCAGATTTGTTCATGATGAAGTTAGTGATGCCCAAATGGATAGCTTGAAACTTAAAATCTACTTTTACACAAGGATTATCAGTGTTGCCGAATATAATAAAATATGTACTCTGACAACACTGCCTGGTGTTTGATCCAATTCATTTATTTCCCAGATCTACCTTGAGAACGGTTGACAAGTATTTTCAAGAATATTAACTATTGCAGAAGTGTAATGTTTTAGTTAAAAGCTGTTTCAGGATATAAACTGACACTTAAGAATTATTTCAGAAAAACTAAGAAACCCTGAATGCTTCATTTCCTACCATAAATGGTTGTGTTTTGTGAATTTTTTTTTTTTTTTATCCTCACCTGAGGATATTTTTCCATTTTTTGTACAGATAGAGTGGGAGGGAGAGAGAGAAAGGGAGAGAGAGAGAGAAACATCGACGTGAAGAGACACATCGAGTGGCTGCCACCCGCACGACCAACCAGGGCCGGGGACAAACTTGCAACCGAAGTACGCGCCCTTAGCGGGAACCGAACCCGGGTCTCTCCGGACCGCAGGCCGACGCTCTAACCGCTGAGCCAAACCGGCCAGGGCGGGTTTTGTGAATTTTTAATGGCTCCAAAAGTCCCTCTCCCCCTTTCCGAGGTTAATTTTCCCTCCAAGTTTTTAATACATCCTACTCCTGCCAGAATTTTATTCCATTATTTATCTGTTCCAGCATACCTTTCCCATTTCCTCTGCACTCTCCTCAGCCCATGTATTTACTCCTACCTCTTATCCCAGCCTAAGTAAATGATCCTACCATCCTGTATCTTCAAAATCCTCCCCATTTTCGTTGTCTCCAAATTTACTGAGAAAAGCCAACATTTGCTCACTTACAACTCATTCATTAACCTAATTACACTTTCATTCAGGTCCCCCTTTCTGCTCCTACAGAAAATGCTCTTGCAAAGATGAGCAGTGACTCAACTGTCAAGTTCAAAAACTTTCTCTTTAATTCACCCTCCTTAACTACTGAATTTGACAGGATTGGTTGTCTCCTCCTATTTTAGGGGGTTCTCCTACAATACTCACTTTTTTGAGCTTCTCCTCTGCTCAATCTTCAAATGTTGAACACTTCACTACTAAACCTTTCTTCTTTCCCTGTGTTTGAATCTTTAAATACTGCATAATATATATGCAAGTGCATCTCAAATTTTCATTTCCACTCCAGACCTTTCTCCTGAGTTCTAGTTCTACGTAAGAAGTGGTTATATTCAAACCAGATTCAATGGATTAGAAATCTTTCTCTCCCCTTACCACTCCATTCCTCTTTCTGTCCTCACTTTCTCAGTTAATGGCACTGATAAATATTCAGGCTTCCCTGATCCTGCACCACCAAAAAAAAAAAAAAAAAAGAGAGAGAGAGAGAGAACACACATGCCTCTCTAAATCATTTTCCCATCACTGACTTCAGCTTTGTGTCTCATACCTACATACCCACCCTGGTCCACCTTTCCCATCCCTAAGGTTACAGCCCTTCTTGGTTACCTAGAGAACTGACTGATCTTGCCTCTGACACTTTCCTTCATCCTTTCATAACTGTCTAAGACTTAAGTCTTCAACCCCATTTCCCTGCTTTAAGTAAACCCCTCAAAGGTTCAACTCCATACATTTCAGTTTGATTCAACACTAAATTACACTTTGTTTCAGTTCTACACAATGTTTTCCAGCCACACTGAACTTTATGCTATTTCAGGAATGTATTTTCACACATCAGTTCCTGCCATTCCCTTCACAGGGATGCTATGCTCTTAATTCCCTTTTGCACTTGCTGGGCACTAACTTGCCTTTCAATATGTCACCTCCTCTATGAATAATGTCCTCACAGTATCTGGCAGAATAATGCTCTGAATACCACAGTCACATCGTACTTCAAACACACTTCTCCAACAAATTACGTAGTGTGGTGAGCAGGCGTATCATTCCCTCCTACAGTGCTTGGTACACTGTTAGGCACTCTAGGACTTGGGGAACTCAATGATAAAAATTTTCTCATCTTCTCAAACTCCCAGGCAACACACATGACAGAAAATGATATACAAACAGAAAGAGTTTTGTGAGAGCTTTAATGGCACAAAATGATTCTAGCTACAAGTTACACATGTATTGTAAACTGTATATAATGATACAAAGATCTAACTAAATAGATGAAGAATGCATAATCACTTTGGCTCAGTTAATTCCAATAATTTCAACACCTGGTTCACTTAAAAATTCATCTGCCTGGCTAAGTCTTCAATTTTCATTTTTTAGAACAGTAAATATTTGTACTGCAAAGTAACTTGCACTTTTCAACAAGCAAGTTTGTACAGTTTTACCCTGGACTCTATTTGTAAATATTTTAAGCCAGTTTTCATCACACACTAGAAAAATGAAGCCTGTCTTTTCATCTCCAAATTATAAACAGGTGTAAAGCTTTTTTAAACATTATTTTTAAAATAACTGTTAATTTGTTAGATTCTCCTTTCCAATTACATAATCTGTTTCTGTTCAACACAAATCTGGGAAGGAGCATAAACATTTGTCCCACATGTTAGTGCTATCAATAAATACTGCATGATTCCATCTTGTGAGAAGTTCTACTGTGACCATGTAATAAACAGTCCAAAATCTCATTAGTATTTTTAAGAAAAAGGGCAGAACTAAATTTTTTTTAATGTTGAAAAAAATACCATAAATATACCCAAGTTCAATCACTGACAGAACTGTTTCTGAATTTCAGAGGGCAATGCATTGCCTGTAAAAAGTTGCTCTTATTTTAATAATAATTTTAGCTTTCTCTCCCATAATACCAATTGTAATACAAATTGGATACGATAGCAGTTATTTAGTTCTCTTAACTTTACCAGCCTTTACAATTTTATTCAGGCTTTTCAAAATAAGTGGATCATCAGATTTTCATTCTTCCCAAAGAAATTTAAATATGAACACTTGAAACAAATAAGTTACAGAAGGCAAATCAAGTGTTACCAGGTTTAAGAATAACAGAAACAAGGTATATTAAAAAGACATCCAAAATTACTCAGCATCCATTGCCAGAAAGAAAAGTAAAAATAATTCAGAAAACTATTTTATATATATCGATTTTTTCTTAAAGATAGCCAGCTATACTCTTAAAAAAGATAGTCACAAATTTTTTGTTTAATCTGTATGTTATTTTCCACTATAACATAAATTTTTAAAAACAATGTGAGAGAGAAAAATTAGATAGCTTCTGCAAACTGGCAAACCTGGTTGTCAAAGCGTTTTTATTCAAGTCAACCTGATGCACTTTTTTAAATGAGTAAATTGCTAGTTTTAAAATTAACAATGGTTCTCTAAATAGTCAATAGTGATGTCTATATCATAAACAGTAATTATTTATATATAAAACACATAATAGTATCCTTCAGAATCATGCTATATGTTCTGAAATCCAATAACTCTACTTGAAATAATTGGTAATCCTGATGCTTTCTAACAATTTGGTCCTAAAGCTTCACATTTTAGAAACAAAGTATGTTACAGAAAGAAGTTGTTGAGAGCTCTGGAACTTCAGGAGTTTAATATATCTGAAAAGATGGCTACAAGAGAGAGTGACTAGTACCTGCAGAATCACAGGAATCACCTGGGGAAGATTATACAGTAAACATTAAAAAAGGAGAGATCAGAAAAAAACAAATGGCATCTTTTCAGAATGGTGTCAAATGTTCCCACAAACCAAATCTGTTTTTCAAAGCTGCACAGGTGTTTGGAATAACTCAGAAACAATTATCTGTAGAGTTTAAAGGCTTCAGAGTGTATGTGATGCTTCCTAAAACAATAAGCCTGCATTTATATCACAAACTGGACCTCATTCCAAAGCCTCATCTTAGGGAAAAAAACAAAAACACATTTTTTTTTTAATTTAAAGAAAACCATGAAAAATTCACATGCCGCTAATAAACATAAAAATACCAAAAACATATGCAAAAATCCCAAAATAGGCCTGAGACGTTCCTTACCAGAAATAAAGATTCTACATCCTAGAAAAGACAGCACTATAACATACTAATATTAAAATCTGCTGATGTACTTTAGTTCTTATTCTATTTCATACTATCATTTATATAGACTGCCTCCTACAAATTAAAAGGTGCCATCAGGAGGCTTAGACAAAGCTGGTTTAAAATAAATTTTTATTGCCCAAGATATTTTTATATTTTTTCTTGTCTTTTTTTTTCTTGTTTTCTTTTTTAATAACTAAATTCAAGCTTGGGAAGCTTAAAAAACAAAACAAAACAAGAAAGCCTTTATATCATTTGCTAATCTGATCTCATTTTAAGAGAGAGATGGTAGTCATCTTGCAAGAGTAAAATTTATACCATGAACGATTCCGGTCTAAATCTGGTGGTACTAAAAGGAGACAATAGCATTATTGACAAATTATTATCTGCTGGTGGCATTTGCAGAAAAGAAGCCCTTGCAAATTTCTAAACAACGGTAAACTCTGTTAGGAAATTCTAAAGTGTCTTACAGGCCAGAAAGGGAATGAGGTTAGTAAAATGCCTCAACAGAGTTTGAATAAAATACTGGATTTGAGAGTTACTGGAGCTGGGATATGTAAAAATAGGGTTGTAGGTTGGATCACGCTTACAATGGCCTCAAGTTCAAATAAACTATTGTGACAATACACCACTTCACAGGTCACATGCTTTTCCAGGGGCTTTCTGTCCTTCAGTAGGTGCTGGCAGAAGGTGTGCTCAGTCGTTTTCCAATATAGATGCTGAAAGGAAACAAGAGTGCACTGTGTTTCATCTGTTTCAACAGTTCTGCACCAGCTTGCCACAGGATGAACTCTAATAAAAACTAAATTTTTCAGTCCTTATAAAAGGCTCAAAAAATGTAAGTGCCCAGTCCCCTAGCACCCTGAAATCATCACTGACTTACTTAAAACTAGTCACCAGCCAGCCAAACTTGTTTAATATGATTATGTTTTAACTCATTACACAGGACTAGACAGCACAGGGGCAGTGACTAGACAAAGGAAAGCCAGAGAGAACAGATCCCTTCAAAGAGTAAAGCAGAGTCAGTCTCCTTTGGATTATTCCTTTGTGATAGACAAAAAGTTTTACTTTCTTTGTCGATTGATATATTTCAGAGTCAAAATATGCCCAATTATAAAGCTGCCAGTGCTTTCAACAGGGCTCTTACTAACAGCTGGATTAAGAGCCTGATAATTACCTTTCCATGCGGAGCAAGTATTTTACCCTTAAATAATATAAACAGAAGAGAACTTAAAATATGGAATTAGCACCCTCCCCTCCCAGTATAATAAAAGCAATCAATTATTTAAAATCCTTTTTCCTACATTCATCTGTAACAATAGTTACACTTACACCAGCAAGAGAAACAGCCTGGGTTCATGAAGGGAAGAGATACTGCAAGGTACAAAAACCAACCTCTTGAGGGCAGATGAACTACTGTGCAGTCAATACTGTAGGGGAATTTAAACTTGTCTACCACTACCCCCACATCAACCCCACACAACATTTACACACCCCTTCCTCCACAAAAAACCTCCATTTTGATGTTGTAATCACTGTCCTCAAAAGCAGATCAAGCACTCAGAAAGACAAAAGGAGCCCGGCGGGTGTGGCTCAGTGGTTGAGCATGACCCATGCACCAAGAGGTCTCTAGTTCAATTCCCAGTCAGGACATATGCCCAGGTTGTGGGTCAAATCGCCAGTGGGGGGCATGCAGGAAGTGGCCAATCGATGTTTCTATCTCTCTAAAGTTAATGAAAAAAAAAAGAAAGATAAAAGGGGTGTGTGGAAACACATATGTTCCCATGTTCATTACTGTGAACATTTCTCCAGTATGCTGAGCCCCTTAAAGGGGAGCTAAAGGATGATGTATCTTTTGCTTATTATATACAGAAAGTGACACACTGGACATGCTTAAAGAGAGTAACAGAGCCTGGTTGGTGTGGCTCAGTGGTTGAGCATCAACCCCTGCACCAAGAGGTCGCCGGTTTGATTCCTGGTCAGGACACATGCCCAGGTTGTCGCCCCATCCCCATTAGGGGCATGCAGGAGGCATGTTCTCTCTCATCAATGTTTCCATCTCCCTTTCCCTTTCCCTTCCTCTCTCTCTAAAATCAATAAAGAAAAAAAGTTTTTTTAAAAAGAGAGAGTAACATATATGTCTTGAAAAAAATTAACAGCTAGTGTTTAACTCCTGAAATCTTTCAAAAATATATTTCTTCAATTATTCAAATCAAGAAAATAAAGAATTTAAAAGACATGCATGGAAAATTAATGAATTACAGGTAAATGCGGGACTGATTTTAGAAGACAATAAAATGCTACAAAGAGAAAAAAAACAAAAACCCATCAGTGTCCTCAACCTACCAGTTTCACTCAAGGACTATACAATAAAATGGTGTGTTTTCCTAGCTGGGGGAAAAAAAAATTCGCATTAAACCCCAAATTTACACATTAAAAATTAATTTAAGGTTTAAATAATCATGAGTAATTTATAAGCAACAACAACAAAGCCCAAAAAGAAAAATCAATCACAGATGAGCCCACTTAAAAATGATCACTTCGGAAAGTAAAATGAACTTACTTTTCAAAAAAAAAAAACTCTACTATTAAAAATGCTTATTAGGCCCTGGCCAGTATGGCTCAGCGGTTAGAGCATCGGCCTCTGATACAGAGAGACCCAGGTTCAGTTCCCACTAAGGGCGCATACCTTGGTTGCAGTTTGTCCCCAGCCCTGGTTGGGTTGTGCGGGTGGCAGCCACTCGATGTGTCCCTTTCGCATTGATGTTTCTCTCTCTCTCTTCCTCTCTCTCCCTCCCACTCTATCTGCAAAAAATAAAAAATAAAATAAAATAAAATGCTTATTAGTATACCATCAGTGTACCAACCATAATAATTATTTTAAGCTCACACCCTATTTGCACTAAAACTTTAAAAGCAAAAGAACACAAACTATTTTCACATGTATTTCTTACATCTGGAAATAAAACATGAGGATAAAATGAATGGGGGGAAAAAAAAACAAAACAACTGTACGAGTTGACCATTACACCAGTACTTACCCTAGCCCCAAAGCCAAAACATGAGAAAGGAAGAGAGATGGAATGAACACCTTAAGAAATTCCGCAGAGAAAATACCCCCTTTCTTCATGGCTCCACTTTTCCTCATGCTTAAAGAAACAGAACGTTTAGGGTGCCTGAAGTGGAACTCCCTGGGGGAAGAAATTCAGAAGTAGGTATCAGAAATGCATTTACTGAAAATATCTTGGGAATTAGTAAATCTACTGCATATACAACCATTGTGTCCACTGAAAAAAATATGTGAGAACTTACTTAGGTGGAATATTTTCAGGCCTACTGGACCAGTCCGACACCCAGTCTACACTTTTTTTCAAAGCATCAACTTCTTTCTCTCCTTCTACAACTTCTTCTTCTGACTGTAAAGAAGAATTCAAACTTTAAAAAAGACAAAAAGGAAGACCCTTTTTCCAACTACAAGAGACAAATCTAGACAGAAAATACATGAAAGTCATAAGGTTGTACATCAGTAATTTTTTGTAAGAAACATGCCATTTTTCTAAAAAGGCTGACAAAATAAGATCTCTGAGATCAGACAATTTAATATCTTAAAAAGAACTTGAGTGAGTTTCATTGTTTTTCTATCTAAGCACAGAATATGAACCTGAAATAAACCTCAGTAAAAAAGTGAACCTGAAAAAAGTGTATTTGAGGATATGCTAACTAATCACTGAAAATGTTAGTAATTTTTGACTCCAGATGATGCTTATATGAATGTCCATTGTAATATCCTTTTTATTTTTGTATGTATTTAAAACTTTTCATAATTAAAAAGGGAACATATCAAAAAGTGTATGTTAACAAGTATCAAGAGACAAGCATGAGTCTAAGCACTTTACCCTGCAACAACCTACAAAAATAGAAACTATTAATATTCCATTTTTACAGATGAGGAAACTGAGAAATAAATTCAGTAACTGCCTAAGGTTCCATAAGTAGTAAGTAGCAGGGCCAGAATCCAAATCCAGGCAAAATGTCTCTAGAGCCCCCATTAGGTTTTACTCCCTGGGAGATTATGTTTCTAGACGTATCACTATCCAAACATTTCCTAATGTTTATTTAAAACTACTTAAGACAAAAGTTTTTGGAGTAACTTATTTTTGTTTTTGTTTTTTAAATCCTCACCCGAGGATATCTTCCCATTTTTTTCCAGATAGAATGTAAGAGAGAGAGCACGAAAGAGAAAGAGAAAGAAAGAAACACTCATGTGAGAGAGACACATCTACTGGTTGCCTCCCGCACGACCCTGACCAGGGCCAGGGACCAAACTACAACCAAGGTACGTGTCCTTGACCAGAATCAAACCCACAAATCTTTGGTCCACAGGCCAACGCTCTAACCACTGAGTCAAACTGGCCAGGGCTGGAGTAAGTTATTTTATGCTGAGTCAGAATCTGACATTGTTCATTTCAAATAAATAAAAAAGAAACCAGTTTTATCTTCAATAATAACCTAAAGTTTTCAGGCCAAGAACAATCAAATTTTCCAATAGTTTTTCTTTCAGTAGAACTCACAGGAATGAGAATGATAGAATTATTTATTCAGTTTTAAGGAATGTGATGCTATGACCTCAAACCAAAGAATCTCAGAGCTAAGAACTGTTTTTGATTTGTTATTTTGTTTAAATAGGATCACCTTTGACCAAAACTTTCATTCTTTTTAGAAGGTCGTTATAAAATGCAGAGCTTAATATATCCCTGTGATTCTTTTTTGACAGCTGTAGTTCTTGTGGAATAGCTGCCCAGCGAAGGTAGTTGCAGATACTTGAGATACAGATACAGTCAGCCCTCGTGTATTGCGGCTAATCAGTTCCAGACTCTACCGCAATAAATGAATCTCCATGAAGTAGGATTCTTTATTTATACACAGTGATAGAGTGAAGCCATGAAAGTTGAAGCGTGAAGTGGCGAGGGACAACTGTAGTTCCTTTTACAATCAAACTGAAAGTAAAATCCCTGTGGATTTTTGCTACATCATAGTATCATTCTTATTTAGTTTGCCTGGACTTCGCAAATTCTACTGGATGAGGCAATGTAGCCTTTAGGATTGATTAGGCTTTTCCCACTAGGTATCAAGATTACTCAGAATCATGAGTTGGCTCTTTAGAGTAAATCTAAAAAAATCCTAAATCAAAAACAATAAATTACCAGCTGGTGTGGCTCAGTGGTTGAGCATCGACCCTTGCACCAAGAGGTCGCTGGTTCAATTCCTGGTCAGGACACATGCCCAGGTTGTGGGCCCAACCCCCAGTGGGGGACATACAGGAGGCGGCCAATCGATATTCTCTCTCATCGATGTTTCTATCTCTCTTTCCCTCTCCCTAACCCTCTCTCTAAAATCAATTTAAAAAAATTTAAAAGAACAAATTATTACAATTTATTTATAGATCAATTCCTGTACACACAGTTCTGACTCTATTCAACACACTGCAGGTCTTTTCCATTACGTTTCCAACTTTGGTCTCACATGTCTCTCTCTAAAACTGCTCAAACGTTTCAGGCTTAAATTTGTGAACAAGTTAGTATTTCATACCTTCCAAGAGAATAAAAATATAATAAAGATTTTTGTTCTATTCTTTTAAAAGATGTAATTTTATCTCAGTTAACTGAAGCAAAGTTATCCTTGGACTATTTTTTTTTTAAATCCCAGATGAGTTTAAAATCAGAATCATAAGCTCCAGCTCTCATTATTACCAGCCCTGTGTGCTTCCTTTTATTCATCTTAAATTTGCAAGTTTTAGATTTTAAATTGTCTTCCAACTCTGAGAATTCCAGAAATGGTAAAAATGCACTTAATCTAATTAAATAAGAGTCATGCTTTCAACTGAATCAATAACCCTCTCTCTACACCTCTACCTATTCAGATAGTAGATTATAATCATTTTAGCCTGTCCTCAGGTAGAAGGCCCTTACCTTCTATTGATTTACACTGTCCTTCTCTGGCCCACCTCAAATTCTTTAGGTCTCTAAACATGGATAGTAAACTGCATACTATGGGGTCCATGTTCAAATAAACCACAGGTTACAAGAGGGAAAAGGGAAGACAATTTCTGTTTCTATCATGTTCCAAAGATACCCCATACCATGCTACCCAATTTGGTCCCAAAACACACTGTAAACATGCCTTCAAGAGACAAGAGATAATCTACGGCTCTGGCTGTTGTGGACAGAGCATTGGCCCACGTACCAAAAGGTCACAGATTCAACTTCCAGTCAAGGGCACATACCTGGGTTGCAGGTTCGATCCCCAGCTCCAGTCAGAGCACATCCGGGAGACAACCAATCAATGTGTCTCTCTCACATCAATGTTTCTTTCTCTCTTGTCCCCCTTCTCCCTCTCTCTCCCCCCCCCTCCTTCCCACTCTCTCTAAAAATCATTGGAAAAAATATCCTCAGGTGAGGATTAACAACAAAAAGAGAGACAATCTACAGTCTGTTTTCTGCTGCAAAACTGAAACTCTTGAGAACTATCATCCTAAAAGTATAGTTTGAATGACCTTTTGCCTAAATGCATTACACCTTGGGCTCCCCCATACTGTAACTCATCAGAGATGTTTTAATTTATTCTCAAGACCTTGTGAACTCTCCTGAAATCAATCCCATTCATTGGCTTATTTTAGTAGAAGGAGCAGGGGTCAAAGGCTCAGACAGCCCTTATTTCAATCCTGGCTTTATCACTTACTTGCTTTGTAATCTTAGATAAGTAATTTAATGAAGACAAAACCTCACCTTTTCCATGTGTTCATGGGTATATCACCTCTTTCACTGCACTGAGAACATTAAATGTGGGAAAACTTTTAAAAAAATAAATTTTTCACCAATAACACATCAATAAATATTAATACCTTTCCTTCCTCCTCCTAGAAAAGGCTGAAAATGTCATATTACTCCTATAGACATATATAAAAACATTCAGTAAGAGCAAGTACCATAATGGTCTTTTGTTAACTGTTTTTAACTGTTTGCTAACCCTAAACTTGCCTCTCATTCATGAAAAAAAACAAACAAAAAAAACAACTATCCTCCCAAGCCCTAAAGTAATTAATTTCTGCAATTTAAAAAAAGAGCAATTTGCCCTGGCCAGTTTGGCTCCGTGGTTAGAGCGTCAGCCTGCGGACCAGAGTCCTGGGTTCGGTTCCCACTAGGGGCACATAACAAAAAAAAGGGGGGGGGGGATAAAAAACAAGTCTTTAAAAAAAAAAAAAATAGAGCAATTGAAAAGGCTTTATGAAAGTTTAAGTAAATTGTATCACTGATATTTCCCTCATTAAAAGTCTTACCCTAAAAAAATATGTTTTCCCCCCTTTATTGATTTTTAGAGAGAGAGGAAGTAAGAGGGAGAGACAGAAACATCGATGAAAGAGAGAATATTAATTGGCTGCCTCCTGCATGCCCCCCACTGGGGATTGGGTCCACGACCTGAGCATGTGTTCTGACCAGGAATAGAACCAGAGACCTCTTGGTGCATGGGTTGATGCTCAACCACTGAGCCACACTGGCCAGACGATATAATGCTTCTGATATAGAACTTAGACTGCTTTTCCAAACACGTAACGCAGTTTAAACTGAGTGATCTGATTGTTAATATCACTTACCAAAGGCTTAATGATAACCAGTATGCTTTTAGGTACTTGTTTCTGAGTAGGGGTCACACAAGCAATGCTGATAGCCCAACACAGAAGCCAAAAGTCTTATATTTTCAACTCTGTAAGTCCACTTAAATCCAATTATCAGTTAAGCTAATTGTATACTTGTTCTCCATGAGCCAGGCAAGACAGCACTTACTAAAGTGTTCCATTAGGTTGTTAGACAGATTATTAGAAGAAGAAAAAAGTGTATGTGGAGGGAGATCTAAGGTCAAATATATAACTGGCAAATGTTTGGTTTAAATAACAGATGTCTTTACTGCAGGAACTGTGCGAACCTTTAATATATTACTACCTGCTATGAGTTATTGTGTGGGAAGGTGAAGAAGCACAGTTGCCCCATTATTTTCCACTTATTTGACTTCAGAACTATCTTAGGAAGCTTTCCATTGAGCAAATGTTTCTCAAAACACATCTGGATAATACTAATCTAGATTTTTCAACATGTTTGCACAAAAGACAATATGGATTGAGGACATTTTCCTCAGGACAGACTACAGCAAAGAACTAACTTCATTTCTCTATCTTAGGATTCCTTAGTATACTTCTGCCACAGAAACTTCTTCGACTTTCCTCTTCATTGTTACAGCTGACTGCACATGGCCAACTGACACACAAGAGCCAGCAATTCAACAATTCCAGTCAAACACCTTCCTATATGAGAGCCTTGCTACTATAAGCTTCTCTACAGAATAAAGTTCATCATAAAATAAATTTGTATTCAATCCCAGAGATTTCCTAGGTTTCAGAGAACAGCACAAACAGAGCATAGTCAAAGTAGGAAGAAATAGGGCAACCTTCTGAAACAGAAAGAATACTGGGTAGATCCGAGACAACATGCAAAATATTTCTAGTGCAAAGGGTTCAAGACATACTGTGAGAACCCCACAAAGCAATGTTTTTGTTAGAATTTATTTAAACATTCATTAAACATATATTCTTTAAGCACCTTAACACAAGAGTAAAGGACAATAGTTCCTGTTCTCGAGAATTTGCACTCTGACACCTTTAAGCAACCTGACACATCAATAAAGTTAAGCTCTGGCTATGAATATTCTAAATCACTAAAAATTGCCCTGGCCGGTTTGGTTCAGCGGTTAGAGTGTTGGCGTGCGTTCTGGAGAGACCCGAATTCAGTTCCTGGTAAGGGCACATACCTCGGTTGCAGTTTGTCCCCGGCCCTGGTTGGGTCGTGTGGGTGGCAGCCGCTCGATGTGTCCCTTTCACATCAATGTCTCTCTCTCTCTCTTCCTCTCTCTCCTTCCTACTCTATCTGAACAAAAAATGGAAAAAATGTCCTCAGATGAGGATAAAAAAAATAAATAAATAAATCACTAAAAATTATTTAGTTATCACAAATTTTAAAACATTACCTTTACAAGCTTTCAATACTATATCCATCTATATTTCCAACAATATCAACTCCTAGTGAACTATGTTTATCTTCTTTCACTTAAGGAACCAACATAATTTAGAGCAATTTTATCTTAGCTGTTGAAATTCATCTCAAAAGTCATTGTTTCATTTCGGACATAGAAAAGGTTTTCATTCCTGGTTCTACAAGAACCTTCCTTTTCATTTATTCTGTGACCTTAAATAAGACATTTCTCAGTTTTCTATTTATAAACTCAAAAAACTAGCCTGGAATACTGAAATGATACATCACAGACAAGAATTTTCCAATTCTTTTAGGGTGATTTGTCCCCAGATTCTCAGTTGTAAAGGAGTACAACAATCCACGTCCTCAGTGAATTCCAAAATCAGAAACTGAGTAACTTAAAACAGCTTCAAACTATTTTTTAAAGTCTTCTTATTCTTTAATATATTTTAACCCAACATATTTACCTAGAGGCTTCATTTTCCCTAATTATTTATTGTAAATCATAAAAATAAATTACCACACGCACACACACACCTGAGAGCTATGGTCCCTGCTGGTGTGCATTTCCACATCAAACATAATCTGCCCATCTTCTTGTGGGGAAGGGCTAGAAAAAAAAGAATTTAGCCATTAGTTTTAATTCTCATTTTGTCAAATAAATTAGTCTCTACTGGAAATTAGAAAATTAAGTTACACTAGTATGGCTTTGAAAAGCAGCAAATCAGAAGTATACAATTACTCATAAAAGAAAAGGTGAAACTGAGCACTTTTACTTCCAAAATGTCCTAGAATTTTTCAGTGGTGATAGATTTCTTCACAGTGATAACTTTGCAAAGGAAATGTTACCAATAGACACAAGACTATCACATTTTATTTTTACTTTTTTCCCCAATAAAGATAAAATGATCTTTACATTCAAAAACCTCATTTGGATTATGTGTCTCAAAGTTCCTTCATCATTAAGTAATTCTTTACTAGCAGTTCTCAAAGTGTGAAAGCAGTTTTCAAAGACTTGTTCAAAGGGTCCTTGAGGTTAACTGTTTTCATAATACTATTAGATTCATTTGCCATTTTCATTCTCATTCTCTCATGAATGTACAGTGAAAATTTCCAAAGGCTACATGTGTGATAGTACAACAGATGGAATACAAATGCAGATGAGAATCCAACTGTTTTCTATTAAGCCACATATTAAAGAGATTTGCAAGAATGTAAAATAGTGCCTCTAGTCCTACAAATACTTTGTTTATAAAAAGTAGTTATTTTCCATTTTAAAAAAATCAGTTATGTTAAAATATAATGGTTTATTATTGTTGAATGAGTGAATATGTATTTTTTACTTTTCTCGGTTTTAATTTCTAATATAGTAAATACCAAACTACATAACCCACATAACCAAAAGCTCTTTGGGGTTCCTAATAATTTGTAGGAGTATAAAGAAGCAAAGAGACCAAAATGTTTAAGAATCACTATTCTACTTACTTCAGAAATATTTACTTTGAGATACATAAAATGTAGTCCCAGAACTATAAAAATTTACAGATAAATTTTTAAACAGACACATGATCATGAACTGTACTTGGATACAATGGATGAATACAATATGCTAAGTTCTATTCTTAGCTTTATCAATGATTCCTTGTGTAATTCCACAGCAAGTCTCTAGGTCTTTCACTATACACCCTGTCCTCCCAAATCTAAATTCAAGTAGGGAAGACAAATGCTCCAGGCTTAACTTGCTCAAAGGAACAGATATTAACTGTTAAAATGATCATGAGCATGTGTACAATGTTAATATACAGAGATGTAAGTAAGATCACCAGAAATGTATCAGATTGATTAAGTCTAGGTTGACACAGGAGATTTTTATTTTATTTTATTTTTTTCTTTATTGATTAGAGAGAGAGAGGAAGGGACAGGGAGAGAGATAGAAAAATGGATGAGAGAGAGCATCGACTGGCCACCCCCTGCATGCCCTCGACTGGGAATTTGGCCCATAACCTGGGCATGTGTCCTGACTGGGAATTGAACCGGTGACCTCTTGGTGCATGGGTCGATGCTCAACCACTGAGCCACACTGGCTGGGCAACACAGGAGATTCTTAAATGAACATAAGAAAAGAGAAAAGCTGGTTCTGTATCAAACAAACATATTAATATATTTAAACATTTTTGTCTTGAATAGAAATCTCAGGTTATAGCACAGGCATTCTTATTGTTCTCAGTTTACTGTCATTATGCTCATAACTCTGTTTGGTTCACAACTAAAGGTCTAGTTAAGGGCCAGCTTTTACACAGCCATGACCAGGTTATGGTCTTAGCATGACAAAGTCGAGAATCCAACAGAAGCACAGTTCTACTTCAACATTCTTCTTTACCACTGACACCGATCTCACTCATTTTATTGGTAAACTGATTACTACTCCTGTTTGGAATGCATTAGAGCTTTAACCGTGGCTCATGTTAGGATTGGCTGGAGAGATTTTTTAACATTCTCATTTTTCTACCCCTCCCCTGACAACAGAATGAGGACCTCCAGGCATGGGGTTTGTGCAATGGTATTTTAAAAAGCTCCTTGGGTGAATCTAGTGTGTAGGTTGATAACTACAACAACAGGATGAAACGCAAAGCAAAACACATAGGGGTTATCTTTAACAACCACCACAGTGACAAAAAACTATGAAATCATTTTTAAACGGAAAGTATGCATAAATTAGCTTTGGTACTAATATCCAACAATCCTAAAACTTTTCCACCTACAAGAAACATTTCTCAACAACTTCAAATAGAGAGATGTATGACAATTCAAATGACATAAATTTTGAAGGCACTTTTAAATGTTCAAGTGTCCCAAGAGTATTACTGAGCTAGAGTTCTAGCCCTCCTCTGAAAGATGGTCAGTGACCCAGAGCCTGAGGATACATAAGCTGAGGGATAGAAAAGTGTTAAAAAAACATTTGCCATACCTCATTTCACATGTTTAGAAACCCAACTGAAATACAATCAGGAGAAGGTGAATTCATATTTGATCACAAGTACAAGTACAACCATAAATGAAATAAGGTGACCAGAAAAGGCAAGTAGGTGACTTTTCCTCTGCTCAATGACAGCACTAAGTGAACAATAGGTGAAGGAACACACTAGTACCAATGATCAAGGGTCACATACTTGAATGTATACTAAAAGCCTATCAACAGGGCCATAATAAGCAGTAAACTTCAGAAACCTAGCGGGGAGTCCCATGATATGAATGTAATACATTTATACTTTATTTTTTGTGCTATGTTTTATTGTGCTTTGCTTTGTTGCACTTTAAAGATGTATTTTTGCTGTTGTTAATATTCACCCAAGGATATTTTTTTCCCCAGACTTTTTAAAGAGTGGAAGGGAAAGGGACAGAGAGGGAGGAATGAAAGAGGGAGAGAGAGAAACATCCATATGAGAGAGAAATATCGATTGGATGCCTTCTGCACGCACCCTGACTGAGGCTGGGGATTGAACCTGTCCCAGTACCTGTCCTTAACTGGGAATCGAACCCATGACCCTTGGGTGAGTGGGCTGATGCTCTAACCACTGAACAACCCTCGCCAGGTCAATGGATGTATTTTTTACAAAGTGAAGACAACACCCTCTACCAGCAAAAAGATTACGACTCACTTTACTGAAATACTAGCTTTATTGCAGTGATCTAGAACCAAACCCGCAATATCTCCGAGGTATGTCTATATAATATAAACTTCATTCTGAAAGACAAACTAATGCTGTCACAACTGGAATCAAAGGCAAGTTGCTCAGAAAAGAGCTATCTGCTGTCCTTATGCTTATGACTAAAGACATCCCAGGCTCTTAAAAAGCACAGAGATAAGTCAGAAATGAGACAGGGTAGCAGGGGTGCACACTGTGCCATAGAGCCAGCAAACCAGTTCTCTGCTGCCTTGGTAACATCAGTGGATCATAAGACATGCAGGAACTTCGAATATGATTTAACCCTGTTCCTCCTTTTCTACTTTTTCTGGCAAGTAATAACATATGCTAGACACACAATTTTTACAAAGTAAAAAATATTCAGAAGAAGAAAAATCTGTAGTTCCATACCCCCTAGAGATAATCACTGTTTACATTTTTAAATGTTTCCTTAATCTTTTTCCTGGGCATTTGCATTTTCTACATGCCTGATATCAGTTAACTCTTAATTAACCAGATAATTCAGTACCCCATAGTGCTGTAAGTATGGCTGTCACTGGTGTTAAGAATTGTTAAATGATACCAGTATGTCATTTAATATCTAGTCCCTCTGAAAAAAAGAGAAGCTTATACTGAAAAATAAAATAACAGCTCCGTTTCATTTTACTTCTATATTCTCATTCTTTCACCATAAATGGTCCTTAATAAGTGGAATTACTTTCTCTAACTTGAATAGAAAAAAATGAGGTCTAAAATAAAACTTCCTCAGATAATACAGAACAGCCTTCAAAATTAACTATCTTTACAGAACTTGGTTGGTGCTTCCACCATGCAAATACTACTGCTCTAGCCCTGGTCAGTTTGGCTCAGTGGTTGGAGCATCAGCCTGTGGACCAGAGTGTCCCGGGTTTGGTTCTCGCTAGGGGCATGTACCAAAAAATTTTTAAAAATTAAAAAAAACACACAAATACTGCTGCTCTAACTTAAATCAACTTGCAGATTCTATGACGCAAACATTTACTGAGTGTCTACTACATGCCAGCACCATCACTGTTAGAGTACAAAGCAGATGAAATATGACCCCGGCCTTTTAGAGTCTCACAATCTAGAAGGGAGAACATATATACAGAGATAACTATATTCAAGGTAGAATGTAATCTGTGAAACAGGGATACAAAAACAAAATGGGATTAATTTTATAAGTTAAATTAATTTTACAAGTTAGATTAATTCTGTAAGTAAACATTTATGCCAATGACTTTTTTAAAATTCTCACCAGAGGATGTTTTTCCATTTTATTTTCAGATAGAGTGGGAGAGGGAGAGAGAGAGAAACAGCAATGTGAGAGGGACACATCAACTGGTTGCCTCCCACACGACCCTGACCAGGACAAAGGACCAAACCGCAAGCAAGGTATGTGCCCTTAACCGGAATCAAACTCAAAACGCTTTGGTCTGTGGGCCAACGCTCTAACTGCTGAGCCAAACTGGCCAAGGCACCACTGACTCTTTTTCTTTAATTTTTTTTTTTAATCCTTACCCAAGGACATTTTTGCATTTATCCTCAGACAGAGTGGGAGGGAGAGAGGGAGGAAGAGAGAGAAAGAAACATCAATGTGAGAGAGACACATCAAGTGGTTGCCACCCACACAACCCCAACTGGGGCCTGGGACAAACCACAACTGAGGTACGTGCCCTTAGTGGGAACCAAACCCGGACTTTCTGGTCCACGGGCCGATGCTCTAACCGCTAAGCCAAACCGGCCAGGGCACCACTGACTTTTTTTTAAAGAGTTTTTAAATTGATTTCCAGAGAGAAAGGAAGAGAGAGGGAGAGAGAAACATCAATGCAAGAGTGAAACATCGATACATCCCCCAACCAGGGATCAAGTCCAAAACCTGGGCAGGAATCAAACTTGTAACCCCTCAGTACACAGAATGATGCCCAACCAACTGAGCTACACCTACCAGGGCTATGCCTTTGAATTTTGAACTGATAAACATCTAAAAATAATGTAATCTGATAAGGAAATTGATTTAATCTGGGGAAAACAGTGGGCACTAAAGTACGTGTCAATTACGTCTGATTTAAATACACATGCTGTAATAATTCAGGTATCTTATTTTGTGAAATAAAGATGTAAGCCATTTGTTTTTCCTAATGGAAATTAACCTTGTAACAACATCTGTTTCGGGAATTCTACCAAAAAGTGGATCTCACTTACCTATCACAGTGAGAACTGCCTCTTGAACTACTCTGTCCTGATTCATGTTGTGCATCCAAAAGTATCTTCTCCATGTCTCCATTGTGGATAGAAGATGAGGAAGGGACGTGTTCCAGTCCCCCATTTTTCCCATTGCCATTATCATTGCCATTGCTGCTGTTCATAGGTAGCTCCACCCAGGAACCTGTTGGACAAGTCAGATAACTTAAGCACAGCAGAACTGAAATCTGTCATGTGCACACAGATGTGAATGTGGTAAATTCAGATAAGAAGTCTTATTCACCTCAAACCAAATGCAAAAAGCATTCTGAGGAAGATAAACAAGTAGCAATAAAAGTTTAGAAATCTATACAGTTCTGTTCCTGAAGAAGCTACTCAATCAACCAATTTAGAAAAAACTGGAATTCTAAAACTAGAGTCATAGAAAATGTGTCTTTCAGCCAATTTTCTCTCTGGTTAAATGTTAGTTTATATACAATAAAGACTTTTCTGAAAACTTTCAGGTTGCTTTTCAAAAAATGGCTACTTAATATCTAGACAGGCTATTTACCTTTAATGTTTTAGTTATATATATTTTTTCCCATAGTCTACCTAAGCTATTTAGTTGTATCCTCTCCACAAATGAAATAAATATATATAATTTAACTTCATAAAGGTCATCTAAATAACTTAACAATTATATCCTAATTAGTACAAACAATTGAGAATCTCCTAGAGAAGGAACTTAATGCAATCACAGAAATCTCAATTTGGGCACAAATCTGGAGCATTAAATTAATCCACCTGGCTCTCGACTAAATCAGGTTAATAGTGCTAAAAAAATCTTTTAAGTTGTACCTCTATCTCACAAATTAGTTTCTTCTTTTCCTTTATACCTCACTCTTTCTATTCTTTCTCCTTTCTCTACGCACTAAACATACCTTGTGAACTTGTCTTTTCTCTCTTCTCTCCCACGAGTTCCTACTTTCTAGGTTTTTCATTAAGCCTCATTGGTTTGGGAAAGAAACAACTGTGCATCTGCTATAGGAAACACTGAAGTTTTTTCAGGGGAACAGTCAAAGTGGGTGGAGCCACAGAAAAGGAGATGTGACCCTGGTTATGTAAACAGGTCTTAAAAATATTTATTGGCTGGCCCTGGCTGGTTTGGCCTAATGGTTAGAGCATTGGGCTGCAGTCCGGAGAGACCCAGGTTCAGTTCCTGCTAAGGGCACGTACCTCTGTTGCAGTTTGTCCCCAGCCCTGGTTGGGTCATGTGGGTGGCAGCCACTCGATGTGTCCCTTTCAGTCACTGTTTCTCTTTCTCTCTCTCCCCCTCCCACTCTATCTGAACAAAAAATGGAAAAAATGTCCTCAGGTGAGGATAAAAAATATATATTTATTGGCTCGATGAGTTTGCTGAACACATTAAGGTGCTTTAATTTTAACAAGAATTGACAACAGTAGCCAATAAGCCAACTTCACATCAAAAAGGGATAATGTATTTTTTTTCATAATTTCCATTTTTTTTTTTTTTTTATCCTTATCTAAGGACGTTTTTCCATTTTTTGTTCACATAGAGTGGGAGGTAGGGAGAGGGAGAGAGAAACATTGACGTGAAATGGACACATCAAGTGGTTGCCACCCGGGACCAACCAGGGCCAGGGACAAACTGCAACTGAGGTACATGCCCTTAGCGGGAACCAAACCCGGGTCTCTCTGGACCGCAGGCCGACGCTCTAACTGCTGAGCCACACCGGCCAGGAACATAATTTCCATTCTTTACAATACATCTTGTTCACTCTAAATGAGGTGATGACTACTCCAGATCTAGAAGTGAACTCAACATCATCCTTCAGTGAAGAAAAAGCTCAAAGGCAGAGCTGGTTGAAAATCTGACATCCATCTGATTTTCTGACCTTGAGTTTCCTTATCTGTAAAACAGAGATAATAACACAGTACCTACCTCCCAAGGCTGCTGTGAGGATTAAACACAGGACCACAGGTAAAGTGTCTACTAAACAACAGATGCTCAGTTATACACTAGTTAAAAGAGTTTATATTTGTCCTTGGCCCAGTAGTTCAGTTGGTTACAGTATTGTCCCGATATACCAAAGCTGCAGGTTTGATCCCAGTCAGGGCACATACAAGAATCTACCAATGAATGCATAAATAAATGGAACAACAAATTGATATTTCTGTCTCTCCTTTCCCCTCTCTCTCTCAAATCAATTTTTTTAAAAAGAGTTTATATTTATGTGTTTGTTCTTAATCCTCACCTAAAGATATTTTTTCTTTTATCATCAGATAGAGTAGGAGGGAGGAAAAGGAAGAGGGGAGAGAGAGAAACATCGATGTGAGAGAGACACATCAACTAGTTGCCTCCTGAACAACCTAACCAGGGCCAGGTCCAACACAACCCAAGTACATGCTCTTGACCAGAATCGAAGCGACTCATTGGTCCATGGGCCAATGCTCTAACCGCTAAGCCAAACCAGCCAGGGCAAGAGTTTGTATTTGTAAATTATTTAGAATAGTGTACAGAATAAAAATGAAGTTTCCCTTTCTTTCCTTTCCCTCAGAGGCAGTTCTGGGGTTGTCACAGTCCTATAATTACAATCAATTCTGTGGGACTATACTGCCAAGCAGCATATTTATATGCCGTCTCCATGGTCTTATTCTATGTATGCGCAAAAATGTACACAGACTACAAAGAACCCAACATGGATTAACAAATTCAGTTAGCAAAGCTAAGGCAGCTCTAACACTGAAGGTAATTTAACTAAATATTTGGAGTGCCTCTGGAGTTAAGAGATATGCCAAAAGCATCCCTAAATGTAGAGCTCTGCAAAATATTTTAGCTGGAAAGAGAGGCAGAGAAAGAGAGAGGTATTTGATAAACTGTTTTTCTGGTGTGTTGTTTTTTTCCTGCTCCCACTGTTTCGGAGATTTTCAAACTCACTCTAGGACTAGTTCTTGTACAGAAGCTCAATGTGTAAAATTAACAAAAATAAATAAAAGGCCAGAGCTGCTGTGGGAGAAGCAAAACTAAGTACTCAGGAGTTCCAGATGGGTCTCTGTGGAAGTCAGTGTTCCCTAAAATACAATTAATGTTCACTTGAAGTAGTTGATCAAAGAGGAAAAAAGGGTGTAACAATATCAGGGTTTTCTGAACCTTACTTTTTTGAAGGATTTCCACACCAGTATCTAAATTCTACTTCCCACATTAATAATATATAAGCAATCACAATCTAGGAACTTGGGGAGACATACCTAGAAAAGCTTAATAAAAGTAATCTCTGTAATTGCCTTAACACCCAGCACAACTGAAGGCATTTCTGCTTCAGACAGACAATATTTATTTGACAGATATTAGTATAGTGGTTAAGAGCAAACTGAATAAAGCCAGACTCCCACTCTATCACTTATAGCTATTACACCCCACACCTGTCAGTTTTCTCATCTATAAAATAGGAATAGTAATTGTATCCACCTCATAGTATGATTAGAGGATTAAATGAATAAAACATTAAAAAATACAAAAGGCTAGCCCTGGCCTGTTTTGCTCAGCGGTTAGAGCGTCAGCCTGCGGTCCAGAGAGACCCGGGTTTGGTTCCCGCTAAGGGCATGTACCTGGCCCTGGTTGGTCGGGCGGGTGGGAGCCACTCCATGTGTCCCTTTCACGTCGTCGTTTTTCTCTCACTCTTCCTCTCTCTCCCTCCCACTCTATCTGAACAAAAAAATGGAAAAATGTCCTCGGGTGAGGATAAAAAAAATAGGAAAGGCTACTAATAAACAGTAAGTACTAAGTGTTAGTTGATATTACAATTATACTATCTTTTAAAAAACGTTTATTACAAAAGTGTTTCTTTAAAATATAAACATTAAGACATGAAATAAAAATTAATACCTCTCCTCCCAATCTAACATTCCTATCCCAAAGGAAAGCACTTTTAAAACTTTCGTATGTAAACTTTGTTTTTATAAAAATATGAAATCAAACTGTACATATTTTTCTGTAAGTAGCATCTCTTACCTAACAACTTGCAGCTATCATTCCATGTCAATATATATTGCCTTACTTCACTCTTTTAAACAGCTGTTTTGCATCCCATCATAAAGATATATCATACTTTAACAATTACCCAAATGGTAATGGTCAGCCATCACCCAAATTACTGTTTCCAATATTGTTATTAAAGCCAAGGCTTCAGCCCAGCTGATGTGGCTCGGTGTACTGAGTGTCATCCCATGGACTGAGAGGTCCTGATTCCACTCCAGTCAGGGTACATGCCAGGGTTGCAGGCTCCATCCCCAGTAAGGGGCATACAGGAGGCAGCCGACTGACGTCTCTCTCTCACATAGATGTTTCTATCTCTCTCTCCTTTCCTCTCTCTCTAAAAAATCAATAAAAACATATTTAAAAAAACAAACAAACCAAGGTTTCAATGGAAGATAATTTGGCAATATGTATTAAGAGCCTTAAAAAAGTAGATTTCCTTTAACTCAATAATTCTCTTCCAGAAATATCATCTATGGAAAAAAAAAAAAAAAGTACTGCAAAGAAAGTTATGCTCACAGATATTCATTAAGAGGCTACATATCAGCTTTATCATTTGAGAAAAATGGGGGGAAAGCAAATTTATCTTTCTCAATAGATGAACTACACATGTCCTGAGTTTCTCATCACCTAATTCATTCCTGATTTACAGCTCAAAATGCCTTGATGTTCTAACTCTACCCTTCTCACTAAGTCCCTTTTTACTTGGAAAGGAAACAAGGCAAAATATGAGGATGGTGCTATCTAAGCAATACAAAGAAGAAAAGTTCTCAGAGTGAATTCTCTTCCTAATAATCAAGCTTTAAAATAAAAAAACTGCAGGCCCTATTATATTAAAAGCCTACTTACAAATTGAAAACTGTTCTCTCATGCCAGATTGCACATATATACACTACACTAGATACTTTCTATTTTAAATTCTTGAGAATCGCTAAGAGATTCAGAGAAGCATGCTTCTATATTCTCTAAAATGGTACATCGAGAAGGCTGGTCCAGTTACTGTGATTACATTCATGATTGTATGCTGTATATACCCTTTATAGTTTATGATCTCCAATTCAATCCTCTTGCAAGAAGGGAAGTGGGAGAAGTAGGGGGTGAGAGAGTGAGGAGAGAAGGAAGAAGAGAACTATTTCTAACTTCCCCCCATGTTTTCCTTAAAGCCTTTATTTCATTTCAAGTACCTTATGCTAGAATCCAGACCACAAACAGTCACTGATATTCTTATGAAAAAAAAAGTAACTAGTGTGTTAAGTAGGTACTTACGCACTAGTTACCTATGTATTCAAAACAGTATTATGAGACAGTGAAGTTTCACATATCATAGCCTTAAAAGCCTTCTTGCAATACTGCGGAAGCAAAAACATCATGGTTAAAAATGTTTAAAAAGAGCCCTGGCCGGTTTTGCTCAGCGGTTAGAGCATTGACCTGCGGTCTGGAGAGACCCAGGTTCGGTTCCTGCTAAGGGCATGTACCTCGGTTGCAGTTTGTCCCCGGCCCTGGTTGGGTCGTGCAGGTGGCAGCCACTCAATATGTCCCTTTCACGTCGATGTTTCTCTCTCTCTCCCTCTCTTTCCCTCCCACTCTATCTGAACAAAAAATGGAAAAATGTCCTCAGGTGAGGATTAAAAAAAAAAAAGTTTTAAAAGTTCCTACATTAAACAATAACAAGAATTATACTGCTATCTCAGTTTTCCTTATTACCCAGTGATTTTTATAACATAAATGTCCTATACAAATATTATTAAGTAACTTAATAGTTTTCTTAAGAATAAGACAACTGGAAATTAGAAAATATCCTTTTAACTTTGAAAGTAGTTCAGATATTTGTCCACTAATTTGTAGTGAAAGTGAACAGTCCTTCTATGATGGTAAACTAAAATATATATACCAGAGAAAGGTTTCATTATTCCAAGTATTTCAATAATTTACTATTAAAACTTTGCTTTGATCCCCTGAACTAAAGATAAAATCCCAAGCCAGAGATAATCTGCACCATGAGTTCATCTCCTGTTTTTCATAGTTGTGCAACTTTACCCAACAAAGAACTTCAACTTATCAGCAATTTGAATAGTACATATTAGATGCCTGAATAATGCTTTTCCCAGTGCCCAAAAATCACTTGAAGGAATCAATAAGGCTTCTTGTTTTGCTCAGTCCAGTGTTGTATAATGAGCTAAAAAACAGAGGGGAGTAATTAAATATAGCACTATCTAAAAGCTTTTCAGTAACTTAAAAGCTCACCCTACCCCAAATAAAATACTTTCTATCTAGTAGATTTCCCAAAGCAACGCTTTGATATCACACACAGGCTGTTCTTCCACTTCTTAAGAGCTAACATAAACCTAACAGCAACTGCTTGGCCAACATCATCAATTACCTCATAGGTCTGTCAGACACAGAGATAAACAAACACATATAACTCAACCCCATTTTCTTGTTAAATGGTCAAAGAAAAATTACAACTCCTTTGCTTTCTGTGAAATCATGTACACATACTAGCCAAATAGCTAACTTAAAGGTATCATAGGAAAACACTGAGTACAATTAAGAAACAGGTACTAAAAAGAGAGATGGTCAGGTCACCTCTGTACATTACATTAGGTGGAATAACATACTAAGAGAATTAGAAGCACACAATTCTGGGTCACTGAAAACAAAGTGTCCTGAAAGGAGCACTAAACAGGATGAAAGTAAAAACCTCAGCTCCAGGTCCTAGCCAGGTGTGAACTTGGACAACACACTTTACTCTAGACCTATTTCTTTACTGGTAAATAACAGGTGACAGTGATCTCTCAAGTTCTCCCCAACATTTTGTAAAATATATGACTGTCTCTAACTGCTATGCTGTACACCTGAAACTAATACAGATTAATATTAAATGTAAACTAATTGAAAAAAATTTTTAAAGAATAATAATAAATAAAATCTCTTTCCATTCTAAAATCATGCTTCTAAAAGAGAATGCTAAATACAGGTAAATAATTTAAAAATGCATTTTAATGTGTAAAGCAAATAACACTTATAGACACATACATTAATCCTAATTTACTGTGGGAAATAATATATGTCTTACATTCTAGAATATAAGACAGTTAAATGTTTTAAAAAGTCAACATTTAAGGAATTTATCCATGAAAAGATGGAGCAGCAGCAATAAGCAATGAAAACATCTTAAAATATTCAAATTCTATCCCCATCTTGTGAGGACAGGAACTCTTACCTAAAATATTTAGGCCATATTGGAACAGCTCCCTCTTATGAAAGATAATGCAATGCTTTCAAATGTCATTTACACATCCAAATGATTTTTAAACAATCTCATCTGTCCATATGCTCACTGTCCTAACCACCTTTTTCCTGAAAGGAATTACAGAAAGATTCGGCAAAAATCTTTCCAAGATTTTGAGCCTTAAAGACATCTGGGAATAGCCCAGAGGGTGTGGCTCAGTGGCTGAGCATAATCCCATGGACCAAGAGGTCGCCAGCTGGATTCCCGGTCAGGGTCAGGGCACGTGCTCCAATTGTTGCAGGCTCCATCCCCAGCAGGAGGCAGCCAATTGATCTCTCTCCCTCCTCTCTTTCTTTCTCTCTCTCTCTCCTTTCCTCTCTAAAAATCAATGAAAACATTTTAAAAAAAAAAGACATCTGGGAATAACCTTAGGACAAGATGTCTGAGCACAAGAACGTTAAGAAAAGCAAGTGTAGTTGGTCGTTAATTCAATACTGCCATTAATTTTCAATCGTCCTTGTGTATGAATCTGTTTTTAACCCTGTTTCTGAAAATTCATTGCCTCAGACTCCGTGAGTTGTGCAATCTTGTATGGTTTAAGAGGGTGTTTGTTCATAAACTGGTTTATAGGGCACACAACCCCATCGTTTAAATAAAAAAAAAAATCACTTGAGCAACTCTGAAACATCTCAAAAAAAAAAAGTAGCACAGCTTCCTCACCCCGCCCCCGCAACATGATACAAGTAACCACTAAATTACTAAATGATTTTTCTAACCAGCCTGTGGTAACAAAGGAACGCAACCAGAAGGCTCACGTTCCGGACGCCCGAGACTGGCCGACCCAGCGAGGTGGGGTCAGCCGGACCAGGCACAGCTCCGCTGCACACCTGATCTCCCATCTGCCCCTCGGCGCGCCCTCCCCTCAGCAGGCAGCCCGCGTCCATCCCTAGGTGTCCCCGCTGCACGTCCCCATCCCAGCCCACGTACCCTCCGCTGGCCGCTCCGCCCACCCTCCCCTCGGCGTTCCAAGGCCCGAAGCTCCAAGGCCCGCCCCTTCACGCCCCAATAGGCTCTGCTCAGGCACTCACCACAGGTGGGATCCGCACGTCCGCCTTCACTTCCCGCCCACGTGCCCTCCTCAAATGCAAACCAAGCAGCCCCGGATCCAAGACCCCAGGAGAAGGAGCGGAGACCAGTCCAGAGAAAAGACAGAAACAACTCATCCTGACAGGTGACGAGAGCTGTCAGTCAGCCGCACATCCTCAGCCTGGACCAATGGGCTGCCTTCTCCTCCCGCCCCCCGCGCGGAGCTCGCCGCGGCCGCCAGAGCAGCGCCTCCTCCCCCATCTCCTTCACCTAGTCTGCCCATCCAGCACTTACTGTTGAGGCCGGCTGGCGGGGGCAAAGGCTGTTCCCCTTCGTCGCAGTTGTTGTTGTTGTTATGCAGGGGCGGTGGCTGCTCTACTAAATGAGACGACATTGCCGGGCGATTGGAGGAGCTGTGGCCGCAGCTGGAATGGCTCAGGTTCTCGGACAGCAACACAACAAGCCGAGTCCCCCGCCCCCTTTTTTGCTCCTGCGCAGTCCCACCCCTGCCCCTGACGTCAGGGCCCTCCCCGGCCACGTGACGGCAACACAACGAGCGACGGGGCGGGGCGGGGGGCGTTCCCAGGCGGACTACGGAGTTGGGGACGCGGGAGTCACGCCGACGCACGTGCCAGGAATGAATTCTTGTGTGCCGCTTGTACGGGCTGGACCGAGTGAGTTATGCAGCTGGAACTGAAAGGACTCACTTCTGAAACAGGCATGGTAGTGACACAAAGGAAGCAAAGACCTCAGTGCCTCCTGTCATAAACCTAAAATAAAGCTGGTAAAACATTAACAGTATAAGGCAGACCTGACTTTTAGTTGTTGAAGAATGTCAGAAGGTTTGATTACAAACGTAACACGCGATCATTGTAAAAAATAATTGGCCGGCCAGTGTGGCCCAGTGGATTGACCAGCTGTGGACTGAGAGGTACTGGTTCGATTCTGGTCAGGGCAAGTGCGGGAGTTGTGGGCTCTATCCCTAGTAGGGGGCGTACAGGAGGCCTCCCATCCATGTAAACATCTATGTTTCTGTCTCTCTCACCCTTCCTGTCTCTCTAAAAAAAATCAATTAAAATATTTTTAAAAAATAAAGTTTGTGCCCGGCCAGTGTGGATCATTGGTTCAGCATCAACCTATGCACCAGTAGGTCACCAGTTTGATTCCTGGTCAGGGATGACCAGGTTGTGGGCCAAATCCCCAGTGAGGGACATATAGGAGGCACCAATGGATGTTCTCTCTCATTGATGTTTCTCTCTCTCCCTCTTCCTTCCTCTCTCTCTAAAATCAATAAAGAAAAAAATTAAAAATAGCCCAGCCAGTGTGGCTCAGTGGTTGAGCATCAATGCATGCACCAAGATGTCTCTGGATTGATTCCCAGTCAATGCACATGCCCAGGTTGTGGGTCTAACCCCCCAGTGGGGGGCATGCAGGAAGTGACCAATGATGTTCTCTTTCATCAATGTTTCTATCTCTCTCTCCCTTCCTCTCTCTCTCTGAAATCAATAAAGAAAAAATATTTTAAAAAATAAATAAATAAATAAAGTTTGTGCCCTGGCCAGTTTGGCTCAGCAGTTAGCGCATTGGCCTGCGGTCCAGAGAGACCCGGGTTCGGTTCCCGCTAAGGGCATGTACCTTGGTTGCAGTTTGTCCCTGGCCCTGGTTGGGTCATGCGGGTTGCAACCAATTGATGTGTCCCTTTCACGTTGATGTTTTTTTCTCTCTCTCTCTCTCCCTCCCACTCTATCTGAACAAAAAATGGAAAAATGTCCTCGAGTGAGCATAAAAAAAAAAATAGTTTGTTATATTCTTAAAAAAAAAAATTGGAAAATTTCAGGAAAACAGGAAAGACAATAATCACCCAAATCCCATCGCCCAACTTACTTCCGTAATAAGACAGGGAAAGCCTGTTCCTATATGTGGGTAACAAAACTACTCTTGTACAGAACACTCCACCTACTTCATATCTCTATGTCTTTGTCCAGTTTCCTTGGTCTGATTTATGTGTGGCATATATTTCTCTCAGTCTATCACTTGTCTCTTAACTTTGATTTACCCTGCAGACGTTTAAAAATGTTCACATAATCAAGTTCATTATTTTTATATGACTTGGGAGTAACCTTACACCAAGGTTGTGAATCTAGTCCTTATAAGTTGTTGTAATTTTCTCTTATTTATTTATTTAATCCTCACCAGAGGACACTTTGCATTCAACATCAGACAGAGGGAGAGGGAGAGAGGGAGGAAGAGAGAGAGACACATCAAGTGGCCACCACTCACACAACCCCAACCCCATTGGGGATAAACAGCAACAGAGGTAGTGCCCTCAGCAGAAACCAAACCTGGGTCTCTCTGGTCCGTGGGTCGGCGCACTAACCCCTGAGCCAAACCCCTGAGCCTAAAACAAAATTTTAGGTTTAAATTTTATATTCAGACCTTTAATCCATGTGAAATTTTTTTGATATGTTGTAAACTGCTTAACTTCAGTCTTTCTAATTGAGTAATCAGTTGACCCAATAATATTAATTTAAAAAAATTTTTTTTCTTTATTGATTTTAGAGAGAGGAAGAGAGAGGGAGAGAGAGATAGAAACATCAATCCATGAGAGCGAACATCGACTAGTCGACTCCCGCATGCCCCCCACTGGGGATTGGGTCCACAACCTGGGCATGTACTCTGACTGGGAATCAAACTGGTGACCTCTTGGTGCATGGGTCGATGCTCAACCACTGAGTCACACGGGCCGCAATCCTATTAATTTTTTTTTTTTATCCTCACCCGAGGACATTTTTCCATTTTTTGTTCAGATAGAGTGGGAGGGAAAGAGAGGGAGAGAGAGAGAGAAACATCGACGTGAATGGGACACATCAAGTGGCTGCCTCCCGCACGACCCAGCCAGGGCCGGGGATAAACTGCAACCGAGGTACATGCCCTTAGCGGGAACCGAACCCGGGTCTCTCCAGACCGCAGGGCAATGCTCTAACTGCTGACCCAAACCAGCCAGGGCAATACTATTAATTTTTAAGTCATTCTTTCCACACTGATGAAATTGGACCTTTATAGCCTTCCCACAAAAAGGGGAGTCTATTCCAAGACTCTATCATAGCTCTGTTAGAAAAGTACTAGAGAGAAAGTGTCTCTTCATTTGTCTTCTTGAAAATTTACATGACTATTCCCTGGCCAGTTTGGCTTAGTGGTTAGAGCGTTGGCCCCCAGACCAGAGAGTCCCGGGTTCGGTTCCCACTGAGGGCACATAACTCAGTTGTAGTTTGTCCTCGGCCCCAGTTGGGGTTGTGTGGGTGGCAGCCAGTCCATGTGTTTCTATCACGTTGATGTCTCTCTCTCTTCTTCCCTCTCTCCTTCAAGCTCTGTCTGAAGATAAATGTAAATGTTCTCCAGTGAGGAGAGAGTAGAGGGGAGGGGAAGGGAGAGTAGTCCTGGCCGGTTTGGCTCGGTGGTTAGAGCGCGGGCCTGCGGACCAATGAGTCTTGGGGCACATACCTCCATTGCTATTCGCACCCAGCCCTGATTGGGGTCAGGAGGCAATCACTCAAGGTGTCCCTCTTACATTTCCCTCTCTCTTTCTCTCCCTTTGTCCCACTCTATCTGTACAAAAATGGAAAAATATCCTCATGTGAGAATTAAAAACATAAATAAATAAAATTGACTTGTCCAAGATTGACCTTGTGTTGGTAATTAGTGAAGCTAGGTGATTAAATTATTCTTCTTATTTTTGTATATATTTGAAAAAATTCATACTAAAAAGTTTTTTTAACAGAATTGATTTGTCAAATCTCATTGCAAATTCTCTCAAGATTTTGGTTGGATAACTGACATATTTACAAAGTTGTTTTCCCATTCAGACTACGATATCCCTGCTTTTACTATTTTTCTTTAAAAGGTTGCTTCTTGAAAAATGTCTTAAACATTTCCTACTCTTTTTTTTAGTTTTGTATAATCTTATGCTCATTTTATAAAAAATAATTGGAGTTTCTTTTTTTATGGTCTTAAGTAGATGAAATTGAAATTACTTTTTTTTTTTAAGATTTGATCCTCCTAAAGTTCCCCTACGCAAACATACGCACCTAATATTTTTAAGGGGGTTAGCTCTGTTTCTATAGGATGTTACCTTTATTTCTTACTTTGTGTTATTTGTCCTCTGTTTTTTCTTGATTATATTATTTAATGGTTTATCTATTTTATTGACTCTTAAATCTAATTCCTTCTTCTTAATTATATTATTCTTAACTCTTTTTAGCAGCTTGAGGTATAATTCACATACTATAAAATTATTCCATTGAAAATTCACAATTCAGTTGTTTTTATTATAAACAGAGTCATACAACTATCACCACAATCTAATTTGGGAACACTTTTGTTACCCAAAAAAGAAACTCTGTACTCATTAGCCATCACTCTTCATCTTTTCCTAACTGCTTACATTGATGCTTATTTCATTCTTTCTTTAATTATTTGAGTATTAATTTTTACCTAGCAGGAGGTATTTTTGCATTATTTCTAATTTGGTGATTCTTAGGTTTTCTCTGAGGCCTAATATATGGTTCCTTTGGAGGAATGTTCCAAGAGTGTTTGAAAAGAAGGTACATAGCTTCTATGTTCAAGGTATCAGGCTTGATGTATCTATTGGAACAACCATAATAATAATGTCGGCCCACGGACTGGAGAGGCCCGGGTTCAGTTCCCGCTAAGGGCACATACCTCAGTTGCAGTTTGTCCCTGGCCCTGGTTGAGGTTGTGTGGGTGGCAGCCACTCAGTGTGTCGCTCTCACATCAATGTTTCTCCCTCTCTCTTCCTCCCTCTCTCCCTCTTGCTCTATCTGAAGATAAATGCAAAAATGTCCTTGGGTGAGGATAAAAAATATATACATAGTGTCAGTTACATTTTTATATTTTCCTCCTTTTTGTGTTTCATGGATTCCCAGAGGTCAATTAATACTTCTACTCCTAATATGTTTCTATTTCTTCTATTTGCTTCTATTGATAATATAAATGTATTTGGATTTAATAGTTATTTTATATCTTAAATATCTTTCACTGTGGGCTTATTTGTTTTACAACATATTTTATCTTAAAACTTAGGTATTTTTATTTTTGTTTAGTGGTTTCCCATTATAACTGTATATTTATATAATTCCTTTGATCTTTATTTCTTTAGTTTCTTTTAATGCCCAGAAAGGAGCAACAATGAAATTAGTGTAATTCCTCTTCTTCCACCTTTCCCTCAACTGCCCATATTTTAGTTGATCATACTCTCGCTTAATATTTACTTTTGTAGTTTTAGATAGAGTTGTATATCTGTCACTTGATTCATTAACTTTTCTCCACTACCAACTTTCGTTAATTATTCATGTCAGCATTATTAGAGTTTATATATCATAATATATGTATCCTATTGCCACAATTATGCTGCATAGCAAACCACCCCAACTCATTGCCTTAAACAAGAAACATTAATTTTCTCTCACACATTC